TATGACAATTTCTCTGACTATAGATCCCCACTGGAAGTCTATCAGAAAAGGCTTCCTGGGTACATGTTGCGGAGATTGTGGATGGGAATTTCTTTTTCCACATATGGCTTAGAGTAGATTTTCCCTTTCATTTCCGGTTCTAGGATTCTGAACCTGTTGAGAGAAACTGAGTAGCCTTTGACTGCTACTACTACGTAGTCCCTAGATCTAGACTTTAAAGATAAAATAATTCAATATTCAATATAGTATCTTTGATTCAGACATCATCCCCCCATCCTAGCAAATCTTGTCCAGCTCTTCATGTGGACAAGAAGAAAAAGAAACAATGATGCATCCGAAAACAGTTTCTGTGCTTTTGGCTATATGTAGCTTAAACACAGCAAATAAACATAGAATGTTCTGTGAAAGCTGCCTCATTTTAACTGAGGCATGACAAAAGTCCAGTGTTCTCTGACCTACAATCTATTTCATTCAACAGTTTTGTTCTGATCGTTGTTGAACTTCTAGTTTTCTTTTTCTTTTTTTTTAATCCTATATTTTACATAAGCTTGGCGAGCTACTTCATCGTGCGCTCTTACATTCATAGGAAAGTCATTGATGCTAACGATGGAGGCCATCCAAAAGTACAGGTTAGATGCTGTTGCTCCTCTGCTTAACGCACTCCAATGAATCCTTATTGCTTCCAGAATAAAATACATGTGCCTGTATTTGATATCTACAACTCTTTCTGACCTGGCTCTCCCCTCCCTTTCTAGGCTTATTATGCCCCTTCACAAACCTTCTATCTCCTCTGTATGTCCTTAAAGGTGACTATTTATGTATATCTTGTCTTCCTCATTATAATGTAAGTGATTCAAGGTCAAAGTCTTCTCTTTTGCTTTTTTCTTTGGATTGCCCAATGCCTCGAACAGTACAATGCATGCTCATAGTACAGCCTTAATAAAACTTTCATAAAAGACCTACATTCATATCCTGGCTCTAATGCTTCAATTAAACTCAACAAACATTTTAAAATACCTACTTGCAATGCACAGAGAGACACTGAGTGCTGACCTCACCATCGGGAAGACTTGGATTCAATTCTTGCCTCTGTTACATACTGTTTTACCCTGGAGAGACCCCTTACCCTCTCAGTGTCCTAGGCAACTCTCATAATTCAGACATCTAAAGCTTAAAGATATATCAGAGGCCCTCTCCTCCAACCCATTCATGTTATAAATGAATAAGCTGAAGCCCAGGGAAGTTGAATGACTTCCTTAAGGTCATCCAACTGTAAACATTAAAGGAGGTGGTATACCACAGCAAGCTCGTACAGGCTAGAGCTATTTGTGAAGTTTTCCGCGTGAGCAGTTAGAGTTCTGAAATTGTCAAATGCTACAAATCAGGCCTTAATTTACTATTTCATTGATTCCTAGACTCAAGAAAACAATGGAAAAAAATGTTAATCCAGATTCATCTTAAAAGTGTGCCATGCCTTTTTAAAGAGCTACTTCTTAAACCCTGATCAACATACCCCTGTTTCAATCCAGGTCCCTCAATTTCAGGGCTAGTGCTCTTTCCAAAGCACCATGCTGCTGCTCTACAACTGTAAGTTCAAAAGACAGAACTAGTCCAAGTTGCTATGGAGAATTTCCTCCCTGGCAATTTATGATAATAATTAAATCACAGATCAGTTGTGTAAGACACTGGGGACTTGGGGAGTGGACCTGGAATCTCATCAGCCTTTAGAATTCCCGGGGACGACAATTCTTCCAACAATGCAAATTAGCAATTTTGGGGTTTGTTGTTGTTGTTGTTGTTGCAAGTTATGAGCTGATCTTAGAGACTCATACAACTCACTGTACTACTCAGTAAACTCCAGTGGCTTCCTATTTCCTCAAGGATCAAATACAAAATGCTCTGTTTGGCATTCAAAGCCATTTCTAACCTAGCCCTCCTGCCTTTCCAGTCTTCTCACACCTCATTCCCCTACATGTGCTCTTCTGGCTGTTCCACGAATGAGACATACCATTTCAGCTCTTGGCTCTGCATTGTCTCTAGCTGTCCCCCATGCCCAGAATGCTCTCCCTCATATACTCCAAGTACTGACCTCTCTGGCTCCATCTAAATCCCAATGAATGTTCCATCTTTTACTGAAAACCTTCCCCAACACCTCATAATTTTAGTGCATTCTTCTGCTAATTATCTCCTGCTTATCCCGATTAAAGCTTGTTTTGTATCTATGTTTACATGTATTCTCCCCCAATAGACTTTAAGCCCTATGACTGCATGTCTTTTGCCTCTCTTTATACCTTCAGCACTTAGCATAGAGCCTGACACATAGTAGGCACTTAAATGTTGATTGATTGATTGAATTGGCTTGCCCACAGTCAAATAACTAGTATATGTCAGAGAAAATCCTTGTACCTCAGGCTTTCTAGCTCTAAGGCTGGTTTTCAAGTCACTATGCCATTCTGCTTGTCAGATATAATATATAGTATACAATATAATTTACAATATGGAGATATATCACATGGTATGAAGTGTCATATAGTCAGATGAGGAAGAAATTTCTTCTGGCTAAGGAGTCAGAAGAAGCTTCAATGGAGTCAAGTTGTAAGCATGTGTAGGCCACCAAGATGTACAGATGGGACAGGTAAGCAGAGGTATTCCTCCAGAATAGGAAGTAACATCAATGGTTAATCTCATGTAGCTTGGCAAGTGGTTTGTCCTTTATAGCATTTTCTAGTTGAAAGGGTCCTTAGAGGCATTTTTGCATAATAAATAAGCAGCTAATTTTGGTACCAAGTCTTGGATTCAACTCCTTCCTCCTACACATAGTATATGACGCTAGGCAAGTCACTCTCTCAATGGCCTAGGCAATTCTCCTAGTATAGAAATCTAATAAATAATCATCAGATTTTAGCACTTTGAGATAATCTAATTCAGAATCATAATTCTAAAGTGAGAAAACTAAGTAGTTATGTAGATTGCTATAGGTCATTAGCAGCAAGGTAAGGACTAGCGTCTATCTCTTGACTCCAGATAGACCCATGGGTAAATAAGTGGCCAGACTCAGCTTGACTCAGCAAATGCAATAGTTCAGTTTTCTCTCAGCCAGTTCCATGGACTGGGCCTTTGTTAAAGAATTCACATTTCAAAAACAAGCATTCAATTCTTTTACTCCATTTGGCAATTAAGTTGAAGAAAATACAATATTTATTTCTCACCCCTGAATTGTCCAGATACATCCTGCAAAACCCAGGAATTGGTTGTTTTCTTTCCTTTTCTTTTTCATACTGTGAGCAAGTCTAGAGAATGTATTCCTTTTGTCACCTGAGTCTTACTACATTGCAGCTTACTGTCAAGCTGTAGATAAGTCAGCCTTGGACCCTATTTAAGGCTGAAAAATAAGATCCTTCATTAAAATTTAGAAGCATCATGATGGAGTGAATAGAGAGCTAGCATGAAACCAGGATACCTGGATTCAAGTCACACTGCTCAAAAACCATAGCTATGGGGCAGCCAGGTGGCACAGCGAATAAAGCTCCACTGTTGGAGTCAGGAGGACCTGAGTTCAAATCCAGCCTCAGACACTTGATGCTTACCAGCTGTGTGACCTTGGGCAAGTCACTTAACCCTGATTGATTCACCAAAAAAAAAAAAAAAGACAAACAAAAAACAGACAAAAACATAGCTATGTGACCCAGGGCAAGTCATTAGCTTCTCAGACCTCTAAGACAGCAATGTCAAACTGAGATAGGAATGCATCCCTGAGGGCCACATAATTGACTTAGAAAATCACAAATTGACATCTATGCTTTATTGTATTTTTAAACATTTCTCAAATGCATTGTAGCCTAGTTCCTGCCTAACTGGGCTCACTGGCTGCATGTTTGAAACCTCTGTTCTAGACAACCCCTTAAGGCTTTAATTTGCAGCAAAAGTGCCTACCTGCATTGGAAGAGAGAGTTTCCTCTCCCATAAGTTCACTAAACAAATAAAATTGCAGGATCAGCCCTATTTAAATTCTTACCAAAAAAGTGATTTCATACTGTAGACCCCAACATAGCATCATAGTAAGTCCTTAATATAGTAAAGCTTTAGATGTCTTATTTCTTATGTTAATTCTTTTCTGGATAAAACATCATTGATAAAATATTTGATGCCATAATACTTTATGACTCAATCATAAAGGGAAAAGAAGGCAAATTTAAAATTAAAATAAAAGTGAAAAATGTTATATTTAACTAAATGATGATATAATTGCAGGAATTATATGGACTCCTACCTGAAATTGTATTTCATTTACTCACAATTTAAGATTTCTTACATTGTCTTACATATTGTTTTATTGTTATTATTATCATTTGTCATCATCACTATTTTTGCTGTTGTTGTTATTATTGTAATTATTATTAGTTTGTGCTTCTTTCTTTCATACTATCCTTTCCTTCTGCTACTCACTCTGGATTTAGCTGTTGCCATCATCTGAGTTACCTTTGAAGCAGGTAGATGGCATTTTTTGAAGGGCTCCTATTTCTTCTCATGACACCTATAGGAAGAACAGGTGTTCTATTCCATGTGATCCAATGTCTTGGAATGGATCCCATAAGTCATAGGCCAAGGAATTTATCATCCTTTTCCCCCATGAAGAAAGGTAGAGCCAAAGAGCTCTGAGCCCCCATGACTTCTATAAATTGTTGACAGTTTTATTTGTAAAACACATTTGGCATTTCCCATGGGCCATTTAAAACTGAAATGGTGTCATAAATTCAAAAAGCTCAGACACAAACAGGACATGGTTGATGACCTCCCTCTATATTATTATGCTTCTGTGATCCCTGGGGCAGGTCACTGTTTAGGAAATATGGAGATTTTTTGAAAAGTGATAAGATTTAGCTAGCAGCGACACAAAGCTAGATATCACTGCATTAGGGCCTATTTCCTCCACTTTTAAATTGGTCTCTGCATTCAACAATTCTTAAGAAATTGTGTTTGTCTTCTGTTTGAATGGATAGGATTTTGGATCGCTATGTACAAGAACAGATTCCTGGTGCCAAAGTTGTGGTGGAATCCATTGGTGCCCGGCGGTTTGGAGAAGCCTATTCTCAAGAAGACTACACCAAGTCTGACCTGGTTGTCTATGCAATTGACCCCCAGACCAACAGAGCAATCAGCAGGAATGAACTTTTTAAGTAAGTACTTGAAACATATATTTAATATTTCCTTAAATCACTTGATGAAGCTTTCAATGAGAGGTTCCTCCTTTAGTTATGCAAATCTTTGCCCATCCTTTGTAACTCTTGCCCCTATAATCCCATGAGTTCACCTTAGGGTGTCCATCCAACATGCTGGGCACTTTTTTTGCTTTTGTTTGGCAAATGCATCCGTGGAGGAACATAAGATGTCTATTAGTCATATCTCATTCTCACTCCCTGAAAAATCCATCTTTTTTTCTTCACTCATGCAACTTCAAAGACATCCATTACTACATTTCTCTTAAGTAATTCTTTGTTTCTAATGTGTTGCTCATGCTCACATTCTTGTAATAAATTGTCAATGAAAGCTTCTTTTTTTGCTTCTGAATGCCATGTACCTTTAAAATTCTATCAAAGTATCATCCATATTGGTTGCTAGAGATAAAAAGGATCTTAATAAATAAAATGCTTATGTATTTTATGCAAGCTATTATTTGTTTAACCTCAATGAATATTTCTGAGTTTAAAGAATTACTCACTTAACCAAATTTTCATATCAACTATGCTCAGAAACTATAAGATTTAAAAGAAAAAAATATATTCTTAGAATACATAAAATTCAGAGGAGCTTATAGAATAATGTAAATTTCTAATTTAGAATTTGCTTCTCTGAATTCCTAACTTCCTTCCTCTGCATTCAAAAATATCAGTCTCACCAAATAAAATAGTAATGCAAAGCTAAGCAGCAGTTATATTTGAAAACAATCTAGGGATTTTAATGGATGACAAGAACAATATGCATTAACTGTTTCATGTGGGAGTCAAGAAAATTAATGTGCCCTTTGGAGCCATTGAGAGAGGCCAAGTGTCCAGGATGAGGTTGACAACTGTATGACAGTTACAATGGTAAAGATGATGGTGACAACAATGATGCTGCTACTGCTGCTGCTGCTGGACAGCTCACATATACTAACAGTGTTAAATGTTGAAAAATAACAGACAACTTTACATATTTATCTGAATTGACTAAGGAACTGATGTTTATACTGTATTCTGTCACAGTCAGATTGCACCTGGAGTTTCATCCATTCTGGGATCACATTTAGAAAGAACATTTACAAGTTTCAGAGTATCCAGTGAATGGTAAACAGGATAATAATAACTTAATTATGTCAAACAACAATAATGAAAGCTATGATTTACAGAGCACTTTCACGTTTACACAGTGTTTTACAAATATTATCTAATTTTATCCTTACAGGAACCCTGAGAGTTGTGCTAATATTATACCAGTTTTATAGAGGAAACTGAAGCAAAGGTTAAGTGACTTGCCAAGAGTCTCAATAGGTAACAAGTGTCCAAGGATTTGAACTCAGTCTTCTGACTCCAGGTCTAAAATCTATCTACTATACTGCTTAGGTGCCTCTGATAAAATTTTTTGGAGAATCTATTGAAGGCATTATGGATGTTTAGCCTAAAGTAAAGAATATTTGAGGGAGAAGGAATAATCGCTATATTCAAGTATTTGAAAGGCTGTCAAGCAGAAGAGGTCTTAGATATAGTATAAGGCCCCAAATGGCAGAATTGGGAGAAAAGGGTAGAAGTGGAAAAAGAAAATTTCACCTTGATGTTGGAAAAGATTCCTATTTGTCATAACTTATCTTGTGTTGCATTGACAGTCTTGGGAAATGATAGGTTTCTCTCCACTGGAAGTATTTAGGCAGAAGTTGAATGGCTACTTATTGGGCATGTTTTAGTTAGAATTTCTTTCAGACATGGGTTGAACCAGATATCCCTGAGGGTCTTCCCACTTCTAATCTTCTGGGAATCTTAGATTCTGTGAATTCAATGGAACAAATGTCTTACAAGGAAAAAACTTCTTCAAAAGTAACACAAATAGATGCAAATGATTATTGGCCAAACCAAATCCTGAGATTTCAAGAAGGACAGGAGTGATCATTCAGGACACATTAATCAGAAAAGTCATAAGAAAATATTCAGACTTATGGACAAACCCTAATAGGTAATTAGAATATCACTTCTAACTTCAAGAAATAGCTCTGAAGACTGTCAAATCAAAAGTCCCAACTATTTGCCTTACCATAATGTATATGTCAGACCTTTCACAACCAATGCTAAATTTAGAAAAGGTTTCATTGGTGTATCTGCAGTATTGGGGGGTTTAACTGAAAATGTTCCATGTTGGTGATCCATCTTGACTTCCTAATGTCCCTAAATAATGTTAAGACTTTAAACATTTAATAGCATACCAGTGATTTTGTCAGAACAGAGACATCTTTAATTATAATTCTGGTACTTATTAAGTGCCTTAATTTCTCAAAATTCTCTGACACTATTTATCTCATTATATTCTTATGAGTTATTTTCTATAATTATAAGTTATGATATATGTTGCATTAATACAGACAGATGTAAATAACATATGCACATTACACATATCTGTAGGAGAAGAATAGAGATAGGATCTTTACCATGTTTTTATTGGTAGAGGGAATATTGGATAAAGAAGCTCCTTCTACCAATGCAGATCAGAACATTATTTATAATTTATATTCTGAGAGAGTTGTCTATGTACATATTTGTATTTTTAAATGTCCTCCTGTAACAAAGTAAACCCAATAAAATTTCTATAGAGCTTCCAATGATCAATTTAAAAATGAGGAAACTGAGGCAATCAGAGTTAAATGACTTGCCCAGGGTCACATAGGTTGTAATTAATTTCATGTTTCTTGCAAACTAATATTTTAGTTCAAGCACATAGTAAATAGACAAAATATGTGTGGACCCCCAAAATATCTATTTTTTCAAATAAAATCTGGCTGGCCTCCATATTATTTGACATATAAGTTCTGTCCTCCATTAAAAGTTATCTTTTAATACTTTAAAATATACAAAACTGATAATAATATTATTTTGTAAACTTCATAAAATTATGATAATGAAAATTTTGTAAATGCTACAGAAGCTATTATGATATATATATGATAGATAGATAGATAGATAGATAGATAGATCGTGTATATATACACATATACACATATATAGACATGAGGGTGTGTGTGTGTGTATGTGTCTGTGTGTGTGTGTATCCTAAGATGAGACTTTTCTTTTTGGTGCTTTGGACAGCTCCCGTATGCCAGACCACAGTTGTATGTCTGAACTCTAACATGCCCTTATGACAAGCAATGTAACAGAAATAAAACAATAGATGACTTTGATAGGTATTCTTATTTCAAACTCAAGCCCTATGCGAATACATACCCCTGCTCAGCCAAAGAGTTCCAAGCTGTGCTCTGAGATTTTTGGCACACAATAATTTTTCACCATCTTCTTCAATGAATGTTATAGCACACGGTGGAAGGAAAAAGTTGTGTCCATGTCAGAGATGCATCTTCGTGATAAACTTATACATAACCTGGACAACTCCCTTGGTCATATTATAGCAATTCAAACCCCTCGATGGTGTAAAGGTAGACCTACTCAATTAGCCCGACAGAGCTCCTTTTCCACCTTATATATCCTAGAGATCTCTTCATTACTGCAGGCAGATAAATGCTACTCATCTTATTTATGGTCAGTTAAGAACTGTCCATGGTGTCAGTCCTGGAACAAAGTGGTGGTTATGTTGTTTTTAACTGATGACATCAGTGAGATCAACCAGATTTTGGAAAAGCAGATTTCTTCTCATCAATACTAATAATTTCTTTCTTTCATTTTTTATCATGAACTTAACAATAATTAAAAATACAAACATTTCTATATATAATGCAGAACAAAAAACATAGAATGGTACCTAATATACATCCTTCACATAAAGACAAGGTGGAAAGGAAAAAGGAAAAGAAGGTGACCCATACCTTTTTATTTCCCTGTCTTGATTCTACAGTGTTCCTCATATTCCCATAAAAGCTCCAATATAAAAGATAATGCACATTTTCTTCTTTCAATTCAGATGTTTCATATAGGATGCAAACTTTATATATTTTATTAGTGATCCCAAGGAAAGTCCTATGCAACTTATATTGAATCTGTGTCTGAACTTTTTCTTGGAGGTAGCAGTGAACTTCAAAGAGGAAAGTGGATAGATTCCATTTAGCCTGCTGCTCTAAAAATCTGCCTCAATTCTGTTTGTTGCATAAATACCAAGGCCAACAGTTCATCTACATACATACTTAAGGCCTTCAATTCTCCAGATGCCATTGGAATTGTGACAGATTTGGGGCTTAATTTGTGTTATTCATTTTAAAATGTTTTTTCAGTTTATTAGCCATCACATGATCTTTGATCACCTCATGTCATTTCCTCTCCAAGGCATTGCTAACCAGAGAGGAAGGGTACAAGGTTCTTTATAAAATTGCAGAATACCCAGTCAATATTATAGTAGATTTGAATTTTAAATACAAAACCAGCATGAAATCCATTAAGCAAAGATTTTTTTTTCATTTATTTGGAAGAAAAACAACTGTCTTGTCCATGATCTTATGCCATATGTCATGTTTTATCATGGACTGAATTTGAACAGTTGAGTTACAAAACCCTGAAATAAGAGCATTTTTTAATGCACACAGAATCTTAAATAAGTCAGTGCTATAAATTCTCTTGTGTATAAAATTCTACTACAGCTCAACATGATGGCCTTATGAGTTCAGAATTTTCTCTTATGCTACAGTGACATCTAATGGTCAGCAACAAATTCAAATTCCAATTTTTCCTGAGGTTATCATCCTAAATTTTGGTGTAAATATAGTTGATTATTTTTAAAAACCATATGTTTACTTTGAAATAGTATTTTTTTCTGAAATATTCTTACTAGTTATAATTTATTTTTAAATTGTTAGAGAAATAGCTAAGGAAAAAGAATAATTCTTAGTAATATTTCCTCAGAATCTCAACATGGAAAGACTTGTTCATTTCATCTAACAAACGCTTTTAAGAGCTTGCTGTGTAAGAGGTTCTGTACTAATATGATACTGGGG